AATAAAAATGTACAATAAAAAAGATTTATTACAGTTGTAATAAAAACAGCCATTTTTGTACATACAAAAGATCGTTTTATTCCTTTATGTGAAAATTAAATTGAAATGTATTTTGTATATCATCAGTATCAACGGACTTCTCACTAGAGTTCAAAGAACATGTCGAATGCTTTCTCTCTTCTCCTTTTCCTTTTCCCATTGAAGCAGCTTTCCTTAAAAATAAACATTTCTTATTTTGACTAGACGGAGGCATGAATTTGATGGAACATGCAGTTTTGCCATGCTTTTGCTCGTCGATAGCCATTTTCTCTCTGTAATTCCCCAAGGTGTTGCGCATTATCTGCCTCTTTTTCACCAGAGGCGCAGTATTGCTTTTTAAAATATTTATATTCTTGGTCAAATCGTGCGTCTGTTTCTCAGAAAGCTTCCCAGTAGCCAAACACATTTCTAATTGCTGAATGCACCAGCATAATTCCAGTTCAAATTGATCTTCAGCTTCTTGGCTCAAGCCACTGCTAGTTTCAGCAGTAGTATTTCCCAAATCTGTAAGTTTCGGTGGTTTCGTACTTCTCTCGTTTGTCGCTACTTTCCTGGCAACCTGAAATCATTCTTTGTTACAGACAAAATTGTTGTTACTGTTAGCTGCGATTTAGTCTAGGTTAGGATTAGGATTAACGAAACACATGCTTGGTTTTGTACGAAGAAGGAACGAAGTTGAACAATAAAATTAACGTACCACTTTAGGTTTCGAAGGCATTTTCTTTTTTTTTTTTTGTTACATCTTCATTCGTACATTGCAAAGGATCATAAAATTAATCCTCTCAATTAGCAAATGAGTAAATAAAAATACTATGAACGTGGAATACAGTGTCACGTAATGGTGAAACGGTGGAACTAAAATCTATCATTGCGGCAAGTTTGTCCTTGTTGCACGTTATTGCATTCCTTGTCCAACCAACAGAATCTTTGGATCGAGTAGAAATTTCAAATCTTTATACAAGTATTTCACAAGTAAAATACAGGAAGAAAGTTGCGGGTTTAAAATCGAAGCTACAACCGCAAATGTTCGCAAATTAATCGTCTTAATTAGTTTTTTTTCGCAAATGAAAGTTTGAGCGATTCATAGACATAGAAAACTAGCGCCGCGTGGCGGTGAAACAGTAGAACTAAAACTCTATCGCTGCCTTATCGCACACTTACGCCTCTTCTCTGTAGCGACATCTTATTCAGCCCTATAAAAAGTTACCATGGAGATACAATAAATTATTAGTTACCAAGTTACAAACAAATTTCCAAGAAGATATATAACAGTAAATAAGAAATTAATAAACAGTCGTCAGTCGTAATTAATCCATTATAAATTCTGTATCATGTAAACGTTAAAATAAATTATAAAATTTTCCTTTGTAGTACGGTGACTTTATTATTTATCGATCATCGTACCTACATGTCTGTAGCGACATCTATTTAGCCTTACAGAAAGTTACCATGGAAATACAATAAATTATTGGTTACCATGATACAAACAAATTGCCGAGAATATATATAATAGTAAATAAGAAATAAATAAAAAGTCGTCAGTCGTAATTCATCCATTATAAATTCTGTATCATGTAAACGTTAAAATAAATTATAAAATTTTCCTTTGTAGTACGGTGACTTTATTATTTATCGATCATCGTACCTACATTCCTAAAAAAAAAGTGTGCGGTAAAAACAGAGAATGTATTCAAAGGAACTTGATAGTTATTATAATTGAATTATTCAAATCATGCAGTCGTATCACATGTCGAATTTCGAAATGTATCTGAGACAATTAATTCACATGCACGAATGTTGTATTCTTATAAAAAATATTATTATTGAAAATACATAGGCTTACAAATGAACTAGAGGCTGTACGTATATTGGGTTAAAGTGTCAACTATTTTTCGAGCTTATAATGTACGATCAATTTATTAATAATTACGAAATAAATAATATCACATTCTCAAGGGTCAACAGAACCATTAACGAGCCGCTTATTTCGCATGGCGGTGACGTTTACATGTTATCAACAACACTAACAATCTTATTTAACTTAGTAACAATAGTAACATACACGTAGCTATATATTTTACCTGCATGGATATATACTTCGTTTAAGCATTAAATATCAACAAATTTCATTTATCTATGTTAACGAATTATCTTTGTTCGAGTGAACAAATTTATTTACAATTTCTTGTACATCGATGAGTGACCTATATATAAAGATCTGCAGCTTTCACAACTAGAAACGCGTAATAACGCGTTTAATGAAAGTCGTGTCGAGAGTATCGTCACCGTGAGAATCTGAATTTCAATGGTACCGCGGTTGGAAGTACAAAAGTAATTTACAATTTATGTAACAAGTTACATAATGACACTTATGACAAAAAGTATCGACGATATTACCGGCAGAAACTTTCAGAGATCATTGTGTGTGTGTGTGTGTGTGTGTGTGTGTGTGTATCGTCCCGCATGTGTCTCCATCTTTGAATATTTCTCCCCGATATTTGCACACAATATTTCCTCTTTACGATGCCGAAAGTTTCCTCGCACCTATTTTTTATTTTTTCTTACCTAACCTAAGGTAGTTTCCTTTCCTTTCCTTTCCTTAGTTAAGCCTTTCTTTTCTAACCTAACCTAGTTTTATTAATGTCAAATTAAAATCAACTTCAAACACGATTCCCCCCCCCCACCGATATGTTTTAAAAATTATTTCGTTCAAAAATTAAAAAAAAAAAAGGTAGAATTAAAAACTTAATTTTTTTCGGAATTTATTTGAGCAGAAAGTGACTTTTGGCCCACCCTGTATATAACGCTGGGACCCTCGTCAATGGTTCTCTCGTCTTGAATTTGTACGTAGGATCCAAGGAAGAAGAATGACAGACATCTCCTGATATAACGTATTATATAAAAAGGGGGAAAAAGGACACGCTCTCCTTCTGACTGCCTCGTAACTTTGAGAACGACTGGCAACGTCAACCACTCGTAAATGCGCGGCATGATTTATGGAACGGAACGAATGCACGTTTGATCGTTAATCGGAGATTAGCAAAGAGTTCAAACAGAGTGTTGCTCGTCCGTTTCGTTCCACATGGCCATCGAGATCTCCTCTCGTCTGACCTGTGCCCTTTCCGTCACGGCGTACGTGCCTCTTCCGGCGAGTTTCAATGACTTGAAGCCGGGGAACCACTTCAACAAGCGCCACCACTTCTTGCCGGGCTGTTCCCCCCCGTTGCTCGAGATCGTTACGGCGGCGTATCTTTTAGGTTTCCTCGAGCCCTTCGAGCGAGCATCCTCCTTCGAGACGACCTCTGTTCCGCTCTTCTCGCCGACGTTCTTCTCCTCGTTAACGCGCGTCGAGTCGACGTTCAGATGCTCGATCAGCGAGGTGCTCTGCTTCGGCGTGTCGTCGTGCGCCGAGTTCCCGGAACAGTCGCTGCTCTCGTGGACGATGCCGGTGCCGGCTGTCGCCGCGATCCGAGAGCCGGTCGCGATCGGCCGCTGCTGCGATCGCGACAAACTCGAATACGATCGCGGTTCCTTGAAGATCGTCAGGCCGGCGATCCCGCAGCTCCTCGACAACGTTTCCTGCGAAAAAAGACAAAAATAACACATACGTGTGAGATGGAGAACTTTTTCCAGTGTGGCCAAAAAAAAAAAAAAAAAACGAGACGATTATCGCAGACCTGCAGAGTGGCACTTGAAATGTTTACAGCGAAGGTTAGGTTTACCTTTCAACGATAAAGTCGCTGTTAGCACCCGTT